ACACCGGACTGCGCATTTTTCTGCAGGACAGAAAGACACTCATCATTTTCGGTCTGTAATTTCATTGGGGAGGCTGGGAACCACGGAAAGACATCAACTAGCGGAATAACGAAGAAGCGTGCTTGGTCTTTTCCGGTCGACACACCGACTTTCTGTGCGGATGGTGCCCGTTGATGGTGGTTGGTGGTAGGTGGTCCTTTCCAGAAGAAAAAAAAAAGATAGAGGGACCACTAACAGCCTCATCTATCTAGACCATGCTAGGTAATCCCCAGCAACCAGATCGATTTGTTGAATTATGCCATCGTCATCTGTTATCGGGCATTGCCCAAGCAGGCATGTAGTACCCCAAACTCTACCCCACCGGATTGCAGAAAGCATATCAAGGTCTCCGATCAGTCACCTGCATCCTCATCCTTCATTTATCCCAGACAGGGGATTATCTCTAAATGGCCTTGAGCTCCGAAGGAACTACTAATAATGACAAGTTTGGATTCGAGCAAAGCCCGTGAACCCCTTTTTAAGGTCTTCACTAGTTTTTAAGACAGGCCCGCAGTCCGATACGACTCAACGATAGTGGAGTCGCCTCCCTTTTATTTGTTGTCTCCGCCACCTTATTCTTCCGCCATCAACGCCAATGAGACTCATCACGAACCTCAAAAGGGGGAACGATGGGGAGCGGACCTGATTAGATTGACCAGGGTTTTTGGTTAATAAGCTTTAATCAGTTGATAGATGAATCTTAATCTAATTAATCAAGCCTGACTCAATATCTTGCCATTAGAAGGTACCAGAAGGGAAGGGAGAGGTTATGTATATACTGGATCGAATAGATAGCGAAAGCTCAACAAACAAAACGATCGACACATAATTCGGCCGAAGCGAGATGTCAGTCTCACGTCCAAAGGATAGGCACGGGACTGAAACGTGACCTGTCACACGCCTGAAACTCAAACCAGCAAGTGTCAAAAGTGGCTCTGACATCACGACCCAAACTCTCTTGCTGTCTGTCACAATTAATCCCACCTGCCATCCCATCCTCACGCTATTTCTTCCCGTCCTTTCCATCCATCAATCTACTACTACTCAAGTCTAGACGCCATCCTACGCATCTATCACGAATCCATCTACTCCAACTCACCACCTCACTTAACTGATCGACAATCAATTAAATTAAATCTACCAACAATGATCCTCAGACGAGCTTCCACTCTCAGTCGTCCTCTCGTCCTTCGTCCGGCCTATTCCGCCTGCGTGTGCTACTACCATCCGCCCGACGTACATAGCACCAAGGGAGAGGAGTGTACGTTTGCCACCTCCATCCACCCTCTATCCTTTCCACCATCAAAGAAAGGGAAGAAACTAATTATTTTCAGTCTTCATCCCCCCCTCCTACCCAGACAACTTAGAAGATACTCCCAGTCTCGTCAAAAAGCCAGAAAAGGACATGGGCCACTGGGAAGAGATCCATGCTACTTCTAGTGAGGCCTCGGTGCGTTCCATCTCCCTCCCCCTACTCCTTCGTCCGTTAAGGTAAGGTAAAAAAATGTTATGAGAATCGGCTAAGGCACCCCGCGCGGCTCCACAGGTGAAAGCCGACCGTGGCGATATCAATATCCAGCAGCAGAAGCAGCAGCAGCGGACGACTACTCGGGATCTGGATAAGGATCTAGGGGAGGAAGAACCGCCGAAGCTGGATGAGATGTGAAATATCAGGGAGTTTGATTATAATGTCTGATTAGGGTTATGGATGGGTATTGGTATGGGTATATGATTTATGACCGAGAATGTTGTGTTTGAGCTGTTCCGTTCGTTCTTCATTTCGGTAAGGTGAAACAGACTGTCTGTTATTTAAAATTGGTGAGTGGGTTATTTCTTACTGTCTTTTTCTATTTATGGGTGTATTACTTGTGTCGATCGTTCGTGCCGATCTTATGTCCTTCGTTCGTTTTCTATTTCTATCTATCTATCTATCTATCCGGCGATAGTTAGCCGATTGTATGACTTGACTACTCTATCGAGAAATAATGACATGACATGATTCATTCGTTCATTGTAGACAAGTTGTCCGACATTATAATACCGAGATCTAGAAACCAGATAAAAACAGATAATACTTCTATGCATGCTCTACTTGCTGCACTGTGCCCTCGACCTTCTGGTCGACGCGGGCTTCCAGCGCATGCTGTCCCGGGGTGACAGTGCGTCCACCCTTCGAGGTAAACACACCCCCGGTGATTCCACCCTTGTGGAAGAGCAAGGGGATATCCTCGAGCTCAAGACCCTTGGTCTCCGGATAGAAGAAGTACACCATGGGGATGAAGACGGCGTTCAATACCGCAAAGATGACAAAGGTGCGCCAGCCGATGTTGTCTACACATATCATATGTCAGTTATATCTGATATTCCCGGTTCGTCAAGGGCCGCAAAACCTACCAAATGCAATCGGGGTGATCTTCACCACGGCAAACACGGCCATCCAGTTCCATCCGGACGCGATGGCCTGCATTCGCGTCCGTACCCGCGTTGTGTTCAGCTCGGCCGGGTAGAACCACGGGACGGGTAGCCAGCCGACGCCGTAGAAGATCTGGAAGATGAAGATGAAGACGGTGGCTCCGTAGGCACAGTCCTCGCGGTCCAGTGAGAGCAGAATCGATACCATAACGAAGCACAGACACAAGCCCGCTGAGCATACCATTAGCAGGGTCCGTCGGCCGTATCGGTCCATCAGAAACACCGGGATTGCCGAGCCGACCAGGTAGGTGCATTGCATAGCGCCGCCGAGGATAAGCGACAAATTCCGACTCATATTCATGGTTTCTTGGAACATCACAGGACCATAATAATTAATCATGTTGGAGCCAGTGAATTGTTGCCCTAATTCAATGGTGATGGTGATGAATAGACGTCGGAGGTTCTGTACTTCGCCCCAGGTGAATAGCTCCTTGACCCGGAACGGACCGTCCTTCTGTTCCTCCTCCAGCACGAACTGGATGTCCATGATGGTCTTAGTGACGTTTGCATCATCGATGGTGGTATCTTCGATGGCAGCTACCACAGCGCGGGCTTCATCGTGTCGGTCGTGTTGGACCAGCCAACGAGGACTTTCGGGGAGGCCGACCACCTGCAAGATGAGGCATATAGCGAAGACAGCCTGGAATGCGAGGGGGAGGCGCCATTCATAGGAGGAATCAGTAAAGCTGGTGCCGTAGTCCATCCTATTCAAGTTCACTCAGTTAGATTGTGGGTTTAATAGGGAGGGGGGGCATAGGACAGTCTCACCAGTAGGCGATCACCACGCCCAGGATAGTGACAGTTCCCTGCAAGGTGAGCAGGGCACCACGGTATTCTGCTGGAGAACATTCACTCTGGTAGACTGGGGCGGTGGAAGAGTTCATTCCGTTGCCCAGCCCGGTAACGATTCGGCCGACCAGCAGCTGTGCTATTGTGTAGGAGGAAGCGAGGATGACGGTCCCGATGATCATGATGAACCCGCCCATCATCAGCATGGTTCGTCGACCCATTCTCTCACCGATGAAGTAGCAGATGATGGACCCGACCACGCAGCCGATATCGTACAGACCGGTGATATTACCCTGCATCGCTGCGTCAGGGTTGTTGAAGTCGCGGGCGAAGCGATTATCCGCGCCCACAATGCCGGACATGACACCTATGAACCCCAAAATGTTAGCCTCGATACACCCTTATCCAGGAACTGTAACTTAACAACCAACCTTGGTCAAACCCCAGCAAAAGAAAGGCCTGGCAAGAGGCCATAGTGATAGCGATGATCAGGGCCCTGCCCCGAAAGTCATGTTTCCAAAGACGCATCTTGACCGTCGTCGAGAATGACTCTAGTACATACCCGGATGGATAGAACTGGACAGAAAGAAAATGAGAGAAAGGACAGGACAAGCTCAATTAAGCATTTGGACCTCGCTGGACAACAGTCGGTCTAATACACCCGAAGCCAGGACGGGAAGCTCCTGCAGTCCAGCTGCCAGCAACTCGCCGTGGATTATCCCGAGCAGGGCACGTCTAGTCCGGCTGGCCAGACATTACCGATGGCTGGCCGGGTCTTGATTGGCCCTGATGGATAGGCGTGGTCGGGGGATCATCGTGCCGAATTGCGGGGTACCCCGTGGGAAAAGGGTTCCCTGACTAATCGGAGATGCTTGAATGGCCTTCACCGCTGGATGTTCATGACTCTCCACCGGAGGAGGGTACCGGTAGTTCAAGGTAGAGCTATCAACCATGGTTGTGACATATGCAAAATAGGGATGGGTCGAGGAGTATGTGGGACGTAATTGCATATCAGTGAAGCAGCAGGGACCAGGATTCAGGGGCCTCGTAGTAGCTTTGTTCAATATGGCAGTGGCTTTTTAGGGGTAGAGTCGCTACAATAAAGCCATGCAAAGATATAGTAAAAGACCGTAATGGTAGTTGTGCTGGCTACGGTGGTGTTGTGTTGTCCTCAAACGATATGATTTGGTTTACCTGTTTAAGATGGCCGTCAACAATGGCGCCTGTCAGTCTTTCGGCTCTCAGGGTTCAGAATCGCCAGTAGAAGGAGCCTGGGGGTCTTGAGCTCTAAATAACAGGATAATAATGGTATAGCTCTCGGACCTGCTCCGTGACTTCAAGCACTTACAACGACGCTCCACTCTCGTTTTACGGTCCGGCTTAACACTTGCTGGTCGTCCATGACAGTAGCAGTGTTGCCGAAAAGCCAAGAGAGCCTTACAGTAGCGTGCTTGGAGTAACTTCAGCGCTATTACCTAAAAGCTGCTTCTCGTGTCTCCCTCACCTCGGCAGTCTTGTCGCTGCAATGAAGGTGTCGTCTTATGCCTATAGCAGGTAAGATAATACGCAAGTGAATGTCGAAGAACAATGTTGCGGCCTAGGTGTCCACACCAGATGTGACAATGGTATTATGAGTTCGGTCGAGAAGTGAAACCCGATCGGGACTGATTATATACAGAAGACAAAAGTAATCACTCCAGAAGAGCGTTTAGCAGCTCTCCTCAGTGCTGTCAGAAGAGGCATCAACGGTGATAGTGGCAGACCCGCTGCTCTCGTATCCCTCGGTGGCGACGATCATGTAGTTGAAGGTACCAAGCTCCAGACCAAGGCTTTCCCAGGCATCGAAGTGGTTCTGAGTGGTAACGGTTCCACCGATACGGCCCTCAGTGCGCACGGACCAGTACTGCTTGAAGGTAGCAGTGCCCTCGATCGAGTCGGCGTCCTCGCGGGTGGTCTGGTAGATCTTGTAGGTTCCGTCGTCGCTGTCGACGGTGCCGAGCTCGGTCAAGCCAGAGGAGGGGTCGTAGTCACCGTACTTGTCGACGATGTAGAATTCGACCAGGGGAGAGGTGGTCCAACCGTAGACGGAGAGGTAGGCGTTGGCGTTGGTTTCCCACGATCCGCTGTAGGTAACGGCCCTGAATAGATGGTTAACACCCATATATTCCCAGAACAGCTGTGGGGTTGTCCTTACTGAGCACTGCCAGGGTTCCAACCCTTGCCGGCCACGAAGTCACCGCAGTCGGTCCACTCAACGGTGTATTCACCACCGTCGCCGTTGGTGTAGGTCACATCGCCTTCACCGTTGGTCCAGAAGGAGTAGAAGTAGCCGTTGCTCTCGCCTTCCGCGGATGAAGTAAGGCTGCGCTTGGCCATGTCCAGCAGGGCCTTGCCGTTGGGGAGAGCGACGGCGCTCGAGGCAGCCGAAAGAGCGAGGAGAAGAGACGAGTAGGCGACCATGATGAGGTACTTATAAAGAGTGACGACGATTGTTGGGTGTGCAATGGAAACGGTCGGGAAAAGAGCGTGGGTTGCAATGCAGGAAACTGGTTCAGCGACCGTCCTTATATGAAGGCGAACAGCAGCTTTTCTCCAGTGCCATGGTCCATCTAAAATCCAATCGAGCTCAAGCCTGGGTAGGGTAGTGCGACACTCATCGTTCTGTAGTTGATTAAACCGGCTGTCCTGGGCCCCTGGTGGTGTTCCTGGACAATCTTACCCAAGGCCGTGGTGTTTCAAATTAAAAGTGGGTGCCACTCCCACCCACTTTTTCTCTTCGGCGCTCCGACCGAGCCAGCTCTCAGCATCGACCACTCACCAACGCCCATCCGGTCATGCAGACATAATGAAAGGTGCTGACAGGAGGAATAATTGGGCCTCGTGTGGAAAGTGGACTCGGCCGTTTTCCCCAGCAAGAAGATCCGCCGATATTGCCGGCATCGTTGGACTCCTCTCGCACACCACACGCCTCCACCAACCCTGCTAATGAACGCCTTTTTTAGCAACAATACCGCCTTAGCGCCTTTTCTTGTTCTTCATGGTCTGAATGCTGAAGCCCCTAGGCGGTCATAGCTAAGATATGCAAAGAAATGGGTTCACCAAGAGTCCCGGCAAATTCCGCTCCGACAATGATGCAGCCGAGAGGTTTTGTACAAAAAGCCAACGTTGTGGATTCGATGTCAGATGAACAAGAATCGCACTTATTGCATGACTTTTTATTTCAGTGATTGAATAAGGCGTTGTTTGTCTATCGTTGATGCAGTGACACCATTAGGTCGATGTGAAGTAAGAACTCTGCCTGTCATCTCGAGGAAGAGGGAAGAGTCCTATCGGGCATAACTGAAGAATCGAGGACTGTATCAGTTGTGGGTCTAAGATTCTTAGTAGCATATAAGTTCACCGGGGCAAAGTAGCTGCCACTCTGGAGCTTCCAGTCGGATGCTCTTGCCGATTAGCGTGTCAGTAGTGTGCGTAGCATTCCTCCAGGGGCATATTGCAGTACCCCTTCCTAAGGAACGGGGCAGTTATGCCAAATCCTTGTTGCTAGGGAGAAGTATTGAGTATAGGCACATCTGCAGAATAGCGTACTGTACGTCGTGGTTCTCGCCGCAGTTGCATCCATCATTGAAATCACTGAAGAGGAGTTTTCGTGGAATCTATGCAAGCCATCCGCCTCGATTCTTTTGGGACACTAAGCCTAAGATATTGGCAGGGACGTCACGATATCAGACTTATCTCGCCAAATAGAAGTCGTGGCTATTTTAAGCATCTGCTACTTCCTCACATCCGACGCCATCCTGCTAGCCAATATATTTGGCCCCACGGCGACTATGACGCAGAAGGAGCTAAACCAGCGTCCAAACTAATATCTTCTACCGAGCTTCAGCTCAGAATCCGGAGCCAGTCAGTCGATAACAATGACATTTTTGCCATTCGACTTTCCGGTCAAGTACTCCTGCCTCATTTGCTCTGCCTGCTCCAGCTTCCACTCCTTGACTTCCACGTGCAGCTTGTTTTCGTGGAACAACTGAATGAACGCCTGCGCAGCAGCTGTGTCGGCAATCAAGGAGCCTACCAACGTGATATCCTTGTAGATGACCGTGTGGTATGACATGGTTATCCCCTTTTCGGGCTGACCAAGCAGGACCATCGTACCGTGCTTCCGCGTAAGGGCAGCCGCTAATTCAAAGGCCGATGGATGATCCGTGGCTAGGACGGTCGCATCAAGGCCTGGATAGTCGCCAGACATAGCCTTGTTGATCTTCTCTTGGGACTTTTCCACTGAATCAGTGGCCAGAATGGATACGTCAGGCTTGTGCTCGTAGGATGCTACTGCATCCAGAGCTGACTGCTTGACATCGATTGCCGCGACCTTGTAGCCCTGTTCATGGTCGTTATCATCTGTGTCTCTTTGACTTGGCCTTAATTTATTGGTTGTCTTACCATGCACTTGGCAACCTGGGTACCAATATGACCTAGACCTCCAATCCCGACAATGCCGATAGAGCCGCCTTGGGGCACATTGGCTCGGACTATGCCGCCGTAGATGCTAATCCCGGCGCACATCAGAGGTGCTGCCACTTTAAATTCCATATCATCTGGTATTTTAACCACAAATCGAGCATCCCTGCATGCAGAATTAGACAGGAGAATACTTATGATCGAAGGATTCAGGTAGCATTACTTACGCAACCATGTATTCGGCCCACGCTCCATCAGCAGTGATACCCTTCATCATCGGGGCATCGCAATAGATAGGACGACCAGCCTTACAGTCCGGACATTTTCCTACATTCCACCCCAATAAAGGCCGACTTAACATTGCTGCCACTATCCGACGACATCTACCGACCCCAGCCGTACTTACCACAGACACTGTCAAAATTGATACAGCCGACCCGGTCGCCTTTCCGGAAACCTGTGACCTGAGAGCCAACCTCCTCGATTATCCCCGCCGGCTCATGCGATCCGATAAACGGTAACCGAGTTTCAAATTCGCCGTTTAGAGCCATCAAATCGGTATGACAGAACCCAGCAGCCTTGATGCGTACTAATACCTGATGCGGCTCTGGGTGAGGGACAGGCACCTCGGACACATGGTATGGCTCGTTGTATTTTTGGATTTGGATCGCTTTCATTGTTCTGGATCCCATGTTGACTGGCACAGGGTATAAACAGGCTTTGAATACTGAGTACTGGTATATGGATGAAAGTCTTGTCCGATATAGATGCTGAAGGGAGGGTAGCCAAGGGATTTATTGACATCATCTTACCAATCAATCCGTCGTTCCCCAATTTGGGGTAATCCGCCGCGTATCTAACAAGCCAAGAACACCCTCGGCAGTTGGCTTGGGGGAAAATCAGAGATGGAAGGATGATTTTTAAAAAAGGGGAAATGTGCAAAGAAAAAAATTAGAAAAGAAAAGGAAAGCAAGACTTTTAGTCCCACAGAAAGCTCATTGCGAAGGAATGAAAAAGAAATGATTGAGCTCCGATAGGGGGAATCGAACCCCCGGCTGCCGTGTGAGAGACGGCGATGTTAGCCACTACACCATATCGGATCTTGTTGTATGTCTGATATAAGTTTTGACATTATAAAGCCTTTGCTATTATCTCATCTCATGAGTCAAAATATCAGTTTTGGTATCTGCAACATGAATTTCCGGGCTTGTCGTTGCATGGGTAAATTCAGTGATCCTATTCCAGTTTTGTTAAGGCACTCTTCTATCGAAGTTTTTGAAAAAATCTCTTTCTAATTCTCGTCTTCATGTTGCAGTCGAGACATTGGGGGTCCCCATAGCGGTCTCCTGATGAAATATATATCGACTACCAAAATGAACGAGTACTTACCACTTCATTCATGCCATACTATGTTGACAATGGCAAGATACCATATCACCACATGCTACGGAGGTACTAACTATATTTACACGAGTAGTGGAAATATGCACAATGTCGAAGCATAGCTATTACCTCCCTGGCCCCAATATCCGGGCGCAGGAGCACCGCATGCAGAATCGGCGGTCATGTGGTACTTTCAATGCGAAAGGCCTTCCCTCGGGGGGCACATGGTGTGCCTTCCACTTCCGGGTAAAACTCTGGCATAGCAGATGACAAATCCAAGTCGTCCATGTGGAAATCAATCCGCATGGACGCGTCACTCTTCTCCTAGTTCGATCTCCAGCCGGGCTTAATCAAACTAACCAACTCGAATGCCGTGGAATCCTTCACCTGCAGATAGACGCCAGTGGGGTATGCAGGCACACAGACGGAATCCCATGCAGCGAAGCATGGGGTTAATTCGCTTAGGATACATACACCGACACTACTTACTGCACCTGCCTAGCACCAACAGTCGTTAGGCCGAGTCTACAAGACGTCTCGCTATGCTCGAGGCTATCCAACTATGATGGTCACGAAGTGTTAGGTCATCTGATGAGACAGAGTCCGGAGACACAGATATGTTTAATCCGGTAATGCCTATGTGTCGCTATTACTAGTTGTTGATAGGTGGACATGCATGCGACTCATGGACTCTCGAAGCATCTCCGGCCATGTGCTGCAGGAATACGAGGGCGATGCAGCAATACACAAGTTAGCGGCCTCTATTCCGGCAGAAATGACGAGGAAAGGATGCGGAGAATAATCTCAATCGTGTGCAGGACGTCGGGCAGATGGACATGAAAGTTATGAAAGTTATGCAGGTGTAGAAGGCGGCATGTACATGACATATGGGGCAAAGAACTCGCATGAACGCCTCATTATCGCTTTTTAATACCTCATATGTCTTGGAGCCCCAACGGAACTCACAATGATACGTTGATTAGGTGCTACCTGCAAGTCGAGCCAAACAACAGTACGAGTGAATTCGATCGTTCTGAGCAGCGATAGCTGAGCCACTGCCACATATCACCCGCTACCTCCAAGTGCATACACGCTATCTGAAAAACAAGCTGCAAAGATATTGTGGGGGCTTGCAGTTCGAACATCGTATGTGAGAAAGGGTCGTCATGCAGAGGCGGCATATAGGGAGAATGTGGTCGGTAAAGAGAATCCCCCCTCACCAACCCCCACTGGCGGGTACCATATAGCCCGTCTGTAAACATTATGTCGATTATTTACTTCGTTTGGTTGTTTAGACAAACTCATGCACGGTCGGTCAACCAAGATGTGTGGCCGGTGGAGCTTTCGCAAACCCGACCCCAATCGGGTAAGCGCGATATCGGCGTCCCGACTTCAGGTACCAGACGGAAAAAAGACACATTCTGACCAGGCAACAATCTGCCCAGAGTTGTCATTGCTTTGCGATGTCACATCAAACATAAGAAATGAGTAGCCAGAACCCACTACTAGAACTTGGCAAGGCGATCAGTGGCTCGATTTCACGGCTTCCCCAGGGTTGCTGGGATCTACAGTCTAGTTCGGAAGATGTGGCTAAACAACCTTATTTTCTAGGTCTCCCGTGCTGAAAAAAGTGTCTGACGAGGAGGATGAGACAGTTACCGCAATGTGCTCCATACGATACCAGAACCATGCGCCACCAAACCAGTCCCTCCCCTTCTGACATAGCATTACAACCAAGTAGTTAGCTCCGAAGTCCGCTTTATTTTCTCATGCGTACTAATCTACGCATCATTGTTGATTTAATTTCATCATTCGGGGGCGTTCGGGGGTCTGAGCATGATCAAGAGGCTTCAGATCAGTCATCTGTGCGTCGCTGCAAACTCCGTCTCGACCTAGATCCACCGCTCCCCACCCCCACAGCATCCTCTTTAGCGTCCGCGTTGAGGGCCCAATAACATCCAGCGGGAAATAACTGGTTAAGTCCACCTATGGCAAGTCATGAGTTGATTTCACATATCGGAGACATGGCTTTTTTGGGAAGATGATATGCGGTCCCTGGCTCCGGAGGTCGCAAGGAACAAAGGTCCCATGTGGGGTGTCAGGAGGTATTGTCCACTGAGAAGCCAGACACTCATCAGCATGTAATTGATAAGGAAATCATCTACATTGCAGAAGAGATTGAGACCTCGGCTCCACTGATGATCAGTCTAGCGAACTTTCTGGCGAGTAACATCAACAGAGAGCCGTCTCTGGGCCACAGAGAGACGGATAGAAGCCGCGCAACTCAATCTCTTCGCTGTGAGTCGGAAAAGTGATTGCCCAACGATGCAGCATTCGTAGATCCTTACCTCCGAGCAGCCGTGTCCGAGATTGTAGTGTCTGAGCTATATAAGAAACGACTTGTCCTCTCCTTGCCATTAAGATCATCCAGCGACATCCTTAATCCTCCGCATCTGTCTCTCTTTCTCTGCGTCCCTCATTGACTGATTTGAGTCCTCCACCACATACCCAGTCAAGATGAAGGCTTTCAGTCAATCGCTTTTGGCTCTCTCGCTTGCATCAGTGGCTGTTGCGGCAGCATCTTGCAACACCTCGGCCCTGAACACGACCACTTATAACTATTATATCACGGTGGATGGCACAACAGTCTTTGATGTTGCACGTGCCACCAATCGCGGTGTTTGTGACATTGGCCGCCAAAATCTCATGGCGGATGTAACTATTGTTCCCAATGTGGGCGAGTACTTCATCATCCCTCCCGAGGTGTGCGAGCCAGACAATACATCCTGTCTCTTGCCAAACATCAATGCTACACGCACCTGTATCTATGGCGGACCTCGTCTCTACTACACTGTTCGAGGAGACACCTACGAAGTGATTGCCCGCCGACTGAACATCACGGTGGAATCACTGATGCACGTGGATGGGCCTTCAAATGAGACTTTAACAAATCCTATTTCCCCGACGGCGGAGTTGGATGTTGGTCAGTTTATCAAGGTGCCTCAATGCGATCCCAGCCAGTGTGTCATCCAGCCTTACGTCTTCAAATGGGGTGTGTACAAGGACCTTGCAGAGAAGTACGGCACTACAGTGGGCCAAATCATGATGATGAGCCCGACGTACAACTACAGCAGTCTGGCTTTCTCGCCTGAGGGCATGTACCCTCCGATCAACCTCCCGATTAACTGCACGGCATTGTCGAACAACATGACTACCCTTGATTAGGTTTTTTTTATTGGGGGTTATGTGGGGGTTGTGTCTTTATCATCATGTCCTTTATGATGCCTTGCGTGGAAGAATGGGGCGTGCCGTGGACTGCAGTAGTGGAACAGATGCACAGGATACAAAATATGCTGCGAGAAGACACGGACGACAAGCATATACTTGAAACGATGCTACATATCATTTTTTTTTGTTGTGCATTGTGCGCAAACGATACTGTACATATGAGTTGGTACATCCAGTAGTAGGTAGAAACCTGCTAGTGTATAGTTACCTAGTATTCACAGCGTTAATTGCCCGCTTCAGTAGTTCAGCAACTAATTTACCGTAATTTTCGATATTCCGATACGCCCAAGTTACCACTTGGGATTCCAAGTCACACGTGGATTTGTTTGCATCACCTGACTAATCTGACCGGCGCTTCCAGCACATAACATAATCCACGGTTAAGCGGCCCACACGGTTAGGCGGCCCAGCTGGTAATACTATATAAAAGATACTATTTTAAACATAAGATATCTTGACCATCAAAGTCTAGAAGAATTAGATCTTTTATATTATTTGAAATATATATATGCTTTCCAAAAACCTCTATAAATCTATTCAATCAATTATAATATAACGATACCTGTAATATATATGTATTATATGAAAAGTTGATCTAACTATATGAATAAAAATTTTAAGAATTTAAGAAAAATATAGGACATCTACTGTTATATATATAATCTGCTTATGAAGTTAGAACTTCTTGAAAGCAATATTGGTTGATATATTATAGAAGTAGAAAGACCAGTTTTATATGGGATAATCGGGTGGCCCGCCCAACCGTGTGGCCCGTCCGACCGTTTTTTACGTTAAACAGAGGGGACTGCTGTAGCGTTTTCCGTTTCCTGCAAGCTTCCTCAATCAAACTTGCTGCTTCTAGGCTAAATACCGCGGATCAGGTTCAAACAGCCGCTGATTCTGGTAGAGTGTTTAAAATGACATCATCTCATCGTTGTTCGTTCGACAGCGCGGAGAAACCAGACTCAGCGAAGTGGATACAAGTGGGCGACATCCCGATGGCCTATGCCCGCCCGAATCGTATAGGGTCAGTAGTCCTCTCCTTAAGGCCTTTTGAGGAGTGCAGCATATTTTGTGCTACCTTTTTACATTGAGGCTTATATGTTTAACCACTAACCTTGTGATGCTTACAGATTGTCGCTGACAATGACACGCTTCAACCCAGCAACCGACAGCTACATGACGCCTTAACTCTGAGCAGAGAATATTGGTACCGCCTCTCAAGGATTGCCTGTTACGTCCATGGTAATGGCGTCAACCCAGAACTTGCTCATCCTCACCACATGCTATGCAAAGTTCCCAGTATGCACGGAGGGCCGCACACGACCCATGCGCTTCATATTGGTGCCTCTCCTTCCCGGACACTCTGTCTTCAGGCATCCGTTAACTGGCAGCTGGATGAATCAACAGTCTGCGACCGTGCGAAAGATAGAACAGATACCGTTCTTCTATATATTGGCACGAAAGCCGCAGTCCCTTATACCCTAATTGGCAAGGACTTCAGCTTTTGGATTGGATTGGAGAGTGAAGAAGTACCAGGTTCAAACTACCTGGCTGTGCTTACATTAGGGTGGTGCTACGTCCTATCTGCTCGCCTCCTTGAGATTTATGGAAGAAATTCCGCGATGAGATATACGGACTCTAAAGCGACAGCACATTATGAAGCTATCCCGGAACCTACAATGCATACTGTCGATATTGGCGAGGTCAGTGACGATACAGCTTCCTGGTGGCTATCAGTATTAGCTTCTGGCGAGGGCTGAAAGGCTGCCATCAAGCAGAGTGATGGCGGAGAGTTTCTTACGCCCTGGTCAGTAATCCGTCCTTCGGCACAATCACTCGCAATCAAATGGCGGAGTAAGGATTCGACTAAAGCTCAAGCTCCTTCCCTAACACCCCTGTCGTCCAAGAAAACCTTTGAGGCTCTTTCCCAGTTTGCCATACTACACGATCTGGGGAGTCATTTTTCCGTTGCTTTCACCATGGCCCTTACAATACCCACCCACAACTGTCACGGCTCAACCCTTCAGCTCCCTCAGCCATCACTGGATGGGGCCAAGTGCCCTGCTACTTCAATCAACTGTGTGCCCCAAGATTGGGCCGCTCTGTACGACAATCTCTCCTACTACATAACTTTGAGCTGCAATCCAGAAACCATCATATCTTCTCTTTGTGGGTCGTTCTGGGAGCCAGGCGTGCCATGTAACCTCGTTAGTCCATGGTTGCATCCAATTTTGAGTGAAGTACCGGAGGAAGAAAAGCTTGCTTCCTCACCAGGCCTCTACCTTGAACTACTTGCCATAATGAATGATATCCGTCGGCCCACAATAGCCGCACTTTGGCTGAGAGCTGCAGCTGGAGGATTGACTCCAATGATCCTGCGCAGGACTAGACGAGGGAGACCGCCTCTGGACCCGGTCGCGTTTCCTTGGACTGGGTGTCCTCAAAGCTTCATGGATATTGCTGGTACAGGGCCTTACCTTGACCAAAGCAAGGGGCAGATCTGGAGGGCTGACGCCTGGCGGCTTCTCCACCTTCCAACTACCGAGGAAGACGACCTGTCCTACAATTATTTAACACGTACACCATGGGAGCCTTGCGGAAAGATGCAGACAACGGAATGTGCGCTTCGAGTGGTTTCGCATCTAAATTGTCCACGCCATCAGATTCGGTACCACCATTGGAACTGGGAGGTGGAGAACAGTGCTGCCATCGAAGATGAAGGTTTCTCTACAACAAGAGCTTACATGCCAACTACTCGGTATAGTGGTCATTTTGTGCAAGAGCCTCATGTCTTTCCTGAGAAGCCACTGGACCTAGAAGCATCAGAGCAGGCATCTATAGATATTTTTCGTTGGTTTATCTTCAATCGGGAGGGCTTCCCCCGGGGAAGTTCTACAAAGATGAGTGGCTAGCTTGTCTTGCGGACGACGAAGATACAGATGAAGAGAACGATGAGGACGATACGTAAAGACTCCATTTGGTTCACTGAAGAAGCCATCTTCGAGCTATCCGAGAGAAACATCATTGTGGCGTGATCAAGTCCGGACTTTGTAGGTCTCCACGCAGCGGCCCGGGGTTTGCTGCTATGTTGTAACATCGGTGGGCCATCCCCGCATGGGCTATCTGAAAACCGAGCTTATCCCGGAAATGAGGCGGACAGATACTATCAGATCCCAGGTTCCGTTCTCATCCGAGATGTCATGTTAACGGGGTCTGGGGGCCACGGCAGATCAACCGTTAGGAGCTATTTTCCGTGAATCCACTCGCTTGGCCTGCAGCTTGAATTGTGCTATCATCGGAGCTTATGAGGGGCTTGGTTTGTCGCCTTATGCAGTACTCCTCACGTCTCCTCCACTTCTGCAACGCTCAAGCCCACCTTATCGGCGTGCCAAACCCCGGCATGATGGCACGATGTTTCAAACAGTGCCCCGTGTGCACTTGTTAATTGCATACAATGTTGGGAGAAAAGAAAGCAGACACCGTGCTCCGTGGCTCCCGAATCAAATGATCAGGACGATGCGAGACTTGCTGTTGGAGATGTTTCACGATATGACAGTCGAACATATAAAAGGGAGACACTTCTCATTGGAATTTCTCCCATCATCTACAACAGCATCAATCATCTCAACAACATCTCTCCTAACAAAACCACCTAACTCATCAAACCATGGCTCCCGTCCTGAAGAAGTACAAGGCCGCAGCAGTCAATGCTGAGCCTGGCTGGTTCAACCTGGAGGAGTCCGTCCGCCGGACCATCCACTGGATTGACGAGGCTGGCAAGGCCGGATGCAAGTTCATTGCCTTCCCCGAGCTTTGTAAGGCCTCCCACCTGAATGTATCAGAGACTCTTGGCTAACCCTAGAACAGGGATCCCTGGATATCCCTACTGGATGTGGAAGGTAAACTACCAGGAGAGCCTGCCTCTTCTGAAGAAGTACCGCGAGAACAGCCTTCCGTCCGACTCGGACGAGATGCGCCGGATCCGCAACGCAGCCCGCGCCAACAAGATCTACGTGTCTTTGGGCTACTCGGAGGTGGACTTGGCCAGTCTGTACACCACTCAGGTCATGATCTCCCCGTCTGGCGATATCCTCAACCACCGCCGCAAGATCAGAGCCACTCATGTTGAGCGCTTGGTGTTTGGCGACGGCACCGGTGACACCACCGAGTCGGTCACCCAGACTGACATCGGCCGCGTCGGCCACCTCAACTGCTGGGAGAACATGAACCCCTTCATGAAGGCGTATGCAGCCTCTTTGGGCGAGCAGGTCCACGTTGCTGCCTGGCCACTCTACCCTGGTAAGGAGACCTTGAAGTACCCGGACCCCTTCACCAACGTGGCGGAGGCCAATGCGGACGTAAGTTCTCCTCTGAAAATCCTTCTTTGTTTTGATGTCTGAGGGCTGATGAAGACTGCGCAGCTTGTCACCCCCGCCTACGCCATCGAAACCGGCACGTACACCTTGGCGCCCTGGCAAACAATCACCGCCGAAGGCATCAAGTTGAACACTCCCCCTGGCAAGGATCTGGAGGATCCCCACATTTACAACGGTCACGGTCGCATTTTCGGCCCCGACGGCCAGAACCTTGTTCCTCACCCTGATAAGGACTTCGAAGGACTCCTGTTTGTTGATGTGAGTTACTTTCCCCTTTCGACTGACGTGCAGAATGCTCACAATTTTACAGATTGATCTGGATGAATGCCATCTCTCCAAGTCCCTGGCTGACTTTGTAAGTGATCCTCCGGGCGCATTCTTTACATCTTGCTAACTGTTCCACCCAGGGCGGCCACTACATGCGTCCCGACCTCATCCGCCTGCTGGTTGACACCAACCGAAAGGACCTCGTTGTTCGGGAAGACCGCGTGAACGGAGGGGTTGAGTATACCCGCACTGTTGATCGAGTTGGGCTTTCGACTCCCTTGGACATCGCGAACACCGTGGATTCGGAGAACTAGAGTCACCCCGATGTGTCGGTTCATTGAAAACCGGCCTTGTTCCTCTCCACTCCGTCCCGTGTCAAACCCGATAGGCTCTCATGATGAGATATTGATGAAGTTCGACTTGTACATTAGAGTTCTCTGAATGAACGCACACATCTGCCTACCAGGCTCCTTTTCCGGGTAAACATCGTAAAAGAAAATAAAAAAGAAAAAGCCTTCCCTCCCTTCGTTCTTCGGACTTTCCATTCTTGCAGCATCTCTTACTCTATCGGTTGGATATTAATATATCATTGCTGTTGGTCATAGTAAAACTGGAGAGGTAGGTATACCACACCGACACCTCACGGCTATAGACGGCGACATTGTGGACAGTGGCGCACGGAATTGTAGGCTCTGCAGCCAATTCCCAAAACCGGTTTGGGGCGATCACTCGGAGAGTTTCATGCAGCGACGCAGCTAGCCACGGACATTCCTCGTACTTTTCGCACTTATTATCCTGCTGTGTGTGTTGCCCCTGTTGTTGCAGCAAATGGGAAAGCCCAGCCGATATTACATGCATAGTCGCAAAGGCCCCCGGTTAACGTTCGCCCCGCAAAGTTGGCCGGAGGGAAAAGGTTGGTAGGGATTTGGAATCGGGATTTGCTTGAACTCGTGCGAGTCAGAGTGAGCATGACACCAATCAAGCACGGGTCAGAGAGCTCTTCTGCTCCATAATGGATCATACGATCTCCCGCACTGGATCTCGATAAAGTGAAGGCAGAAGTGGGAACAGGAGCCGACCGCGGGTCCATGGCGATCGAACCGGGGTTTGCTGAGCCCGGGATTTGCGCCACCGGCTTTTGCATAAATCGGTTGTGGCCTCGACGAACACCTACTGTCGGACCTGAAAGTCCGATTACCACTAGTAACTAGTTTACTTGGTTTTCTCTGTACAATGGGATCGCCCAAGACATTCGTTGATGTCTCCCGTCCAGGGCATCGCAGGTTCTGCAAGCCCCCCGTCAAGGTCGCCTGTCTGTCGTGGTAGGTTCTGCCGCCAGTGATGTTTTCATAGCTATAAGCGCTCACAATTCCCGACAGTCGGACGTTGCGAGTGCGTTGCGATGGCCAGGAACGATGCTCCAACTGTGTCGCCAAGGATACAATATGTTGCTATGTCCCTAGTAAACGAGGCGGTCCACGAAACTGCCAGAATCGCAAGCGTAAACGGGCATCAACGCCCCCGACAACGGTCTCTGATGCGCCGGATGAAGGTTATCAGACCCAAAAGAGAGGTAGCCCCATCATTGAGGGTCCGCCGTCGAGCTCGGATGAAGATGGTACACATCCTAGGCAGTTGTCTGAGTATCGCAGAAGACCTTGAGCTGATAATTTCCCAGGCTGGCTCAGCCAGATCTTGAGCCTGGGCGCCCCAGGCGCAGGACTGCGCAGTGTCGAAAGCTCAGTTACTGAAATGGAACAGATATTTGATTCAATCTTCATGGTCGATGAACCATCCATGGTACCGGAACCTCCTGTCCCCCCACCGGATTTGTTGCAGACGTACGCGAGTGATGCGGACATGTAAGATTCACCCAGACATTCCGCTAAACTGTTCTGACCGGCGCAGATTGGACGCTTACTATGTCTTCATTCACATTTATTATCCGATATTGCCTCCCCCGGAACGGGTGCCGGTTTACAATCGTCCTTTGTCCGAGAGGTCACCTTTTCGACCTTCTAGTCCTCTTAGTTTAGCCATATCAGCCATTCTCGCCCTTGTCCCGCATCCCGAGGTGAAACAGCCTTCACGATCGGAGTATGTGAAGCTGCGTCGAGACCTTGCCCATTCCTTTGCACAGTCTGCACTAGAGGCCGTGGAGACTGACCTTGAACTGCTGGACTCTTCGGTTGATCCATCGAAAGCTCTTTCCGACGGCGCACCCCAGTATCAGCGAAAGGAATTTCACAGCAAAGTGCCCGTTTGTCTGGAAGCGGTTCTAGCATTGGTGGTGCTGAGCGTATATGAGTATGCTCAGAGGGGGAACATAAACAAAATGTGTAATCGGGCGGGGCAAGCGTTGACAGCCGCCATGAGCATGTCGCTGCACGAGATGGTCGACGAGGATGAATACTCTGAGGCCCGTCGAAGAGCTTGGTGGATCACAGTCAGTATCTCTTGAATATTGACAGACAAATTGCGCTAACATCATGAAGTATCTGACGGTCTGCCAAGGATCAATTGTCAGCGGGATGGTATGTAGTCGTGCTCCAGGTCTCGGACATGCGTAACTTACACATATAGCCCCCTGCAATTAATCCGTATGACCCTCGCTTTGTGACACCAATTCCAGAGGTGAGTATTTAGCTCTCGTGGTTAGATAGATTCTGACACGTACAGGGATGGAAACTGCTCATCGAGGCCCAGCAGACCATTCTCGAAGCCACAACCTTTGTTCACGATTTAGATCTAACCACAAAGTCACACTTCAATGCCTCCTGGGTGCCCCACCGGATGACCGAGCTGGACAACCAAATAACGTGTCTGCTGCATCCATGTCGCGTGTCCATTCACGACTCGGCCATAAAGTCGCCTAGCGCAACCCAGGACTCACCGGACGTCGTTGCCCTGCACACGATAAGACACATTGCAGAAATCAAGCTACACAGGTATATACCTGCATGTTATTCTTGTATCAGCCATGACTAACTCCATGTAGCGCTAGGATTAAGACTCACCGATTTTGCGCTTTCCAAGATATTCCCGTCTTTCGCAAGCGCCATTGCGACCTGGACGCAGCTGCAGGGCCCAGATGCTGTCGTGTGCAGGTCGCTGAAGCTTCCAGACCACCTACGTCCTCGCCCGACAGCTTTCTATCTTCCGTGCTCTCCGAGCCCGCAGCTATCGACTTTCCGTTTTCCGCACACGCGTCCTCGAAAATCTGTCTTCATGCAGCATTAAACATTGTCAGCCTTTTAGACAGCCTGCCGTATCCAAACCCGACGAATGAGATCCCGTTGACTAACCCACCTTACCTTTCACGCAATTCCCGGGTTGAGATACCACGTATGATGCCGACTTTTGCCTGTTGTGCGATGCAGTCGAGCTATGCGATGATTATGTTGTGCTTGAAGGCCCGGGCGATGCGTGAGCCAGTGGGGAATGACTTGACGACCTCGAGCAGCCGATCTCTAGGCGGGTTCCTAGATGAGCTGCGACAGAGCCTGCGGCAGGTTTCGAAGGCCTTGGGAAACTATGCGATTGCGTTCGAAGCACTCAACGGGATGAGGGGTACGTGATATACCTGAACTTCGTATAAAACGATCATGAGCTGACGATGAAGTAGATGAGATCGCAAATTCTGTTGAAACAATTTCCATGAATGGCTGATAATCGCGCTGAGGCATATTGATTTGCAAAGTACACAGAGTACACTTTAGAACAGCAGTCCCGGTAGACTGCTTGATAACCCATTAATGAGAAGAGGGAGTTGTTACTTCTTCCACGAGGAAAAGCAAAAACATACCAGTTGCCAGAGTCAACCGATTCAAAGAAGAGGAATACCTGTCCAATGCAATGAAGTATCTGATAATTTCTGGAGGTTCATAGTATAGCTGTTGATGGTGGTGTATAGATATGGATGGGGCATCGCTTAGGTGGGCCCGTCTCACCGCCTGGTCTGTCAGCAAGCGGATAATACTGCCGTCTCCCACAATAATCCGTGGGAGAATATTCTGTCAACAACTATCAAATCTGACAGAAGAGATCTGAATCACAAGCATGGGTAACTTGGGTTGGAACTATGTCTATATGAAAGATAAATAGTTTCAGACTGAAAGAGCATAAATTAGAAAAAAAAAAGTTCTAGAGACCGTTTTGTTAACATTTTTTCATAGAAATGTGTCCAACGATGGATGTCCTCAACAGTGAGAATAGTCCAAAGCTATATATCATATGGCCATTCCATGATTTCAGCTCTACATTTCCACTTGCGCCCATTTCTCAAGATACCATCATGCCATGAAGTTCATGCCAATTGATGATCATAGGATCAACCTGGTCCTCGAAATCTGTTGTGGTCGCCAAGACCTCTGCGGCCGCCAACCCCATCCGCAATCTTTGATATCCGCTATTATATCCACTCCACTCTCCATCCGCCCTCCGCATAACTATCAACTCCCGCAATGACCTCACCTCGCGCAATTCACTGCACCTTCCTCATCTGTCCCCCAACCACCCTCCAGCTGCTCTTGCCTCTGCTTAAACCGCCAGCCAATCAGGAGCCTCAAATCCTTACAATGCTCCCTTATATTTGATAAAAGGGAAGCCCCACTAACCCAGTGAACCCGATGGTCGAATGGCCGGAGGACTTCAAGGTACGCTGATGAGCCGCCCAGTGTCGCCCTAAGAGAAGGCTGTTACTACCTCCCGTAAAGGTTGCAGGGAACACAGTGGCACACGTTCGAATCCCAGTCCCGGCCCCTACCGGCGTGATATCGAGGCCAGTTCCTGAAGCAGTCTTCAATGTGTGCGTCTAAGAGTGTAGGGCCCACCGGCTACAACTCGATCCTAAGCACGAAGACCAGGTTAATTGAAGGGAAAGTAACTGGGTTAACCCGGCACCTTTTTTTTTTTTCTTTTGTTGTTGCTTTGGTGTTTTGTTCCTTTGAGGATTGCGTGAGGCTATATAAACGTCCTACTTACTAGGAGGCTACTCCTCTGTGGTGGGAGAGAAACTAGATGATAGTGTTAGTAGGCTATTTAGTACTTACTACCAATGCTACCAGTCATTCTGTCTTGTCTTCGTTTACCGCATCAGCGTGATCTTGCCGCAATCGACCCAATTCGTCTTGGGTGAAGCCATCCCCATCGGTTCTTCTCATCCTGTACTTACCTTCCTTCTCCCTCCCGTACGGTACCTACCCTTCCGCATCACCACGGATGTGTACCTATTGTAATCTTATTCCTCAGCCGGCCAATATGAAGTTATTCAAATCACTCCATCCCATCCAACCGGCCGCCTTTATTTGTAACCTTCCAACACTCCCTTTTTAGTGGTCGACACCCATCTGTCAACTACTAGTAATAGAAGACACTGAGCTTTATTGAGCCTGTCACTTTCTCAATGATCTGTAAGTTTTTGAGCCTTTGTCTTCATATACCACGTTCTTTACTACCATACCCTTC